CCCCGCTCCCCTCTCACCCCAAGGACCCCCCGGTCTCCCGGCTCCCTGCCCTACCTCTGCGCCCTGTGACCCCGATGCCCATAGACTGAGCCCCATCTCTATGCCTCCCGTTGCTTTCTGACCCTGTTCTACGCTGCGACATCCCCTTCCCCTTCCCCTCCCCCCCCCAGTCCCTCCTGGTGCCCTTTACCGCCCCCCCCCGACCCCCCCGCTCCATCACACCTGGCCAGCGCCGCAGCGCCCACACCCGGAAGTGATCAACCGGAAGGGGCGGGGCCAGGCGATTCGCGCGTGCGCGGTGATGAGGCGGAGTCTTGTGTTGTTAGCTGCTTACCGCCAGGGGGCGCCGTAGCGCAGCGGGATAGTGCGGGCCGCTCTGCTCTGCCCGCGATCATAGAGCGGAGAGGGATGGGAGGCAGCGCGAACCATAGAGTACGGTGGGATAGAAGGGACACCACTGCCTCGTACCTTGCTGCGGTTGCACAGCGCCCCACCCAGGTGGTGCAACCACGGCGCTGATGGAGCCGCGCTTATCCAAATGGAAACCCCAAAAAGGGGGAGCCCCAAAAAGGGGGACCCCAAATGGGACCACTAAAAAAAGGGAACCCAAAATGAGAACCCCAAAAGGGGGACCCCGAATGGAATCCTTAAAAAAGGGGACCATCAAAATGAGAATCTCAACAGGGGGACCCCAAATAGAGAATCTCAAGTGGGACCGCTAAAAAAGGGGACCCCAAAAATGTATACCCCAAGAAGGATGAAGACCCCGAATAGAACCCCAAAATGGGAACCCAAAAGGGGAATCCTAAATGGAACCGCTAAAAAAGGGGACCCGCATAATGAGAACCCCAGTAGGGTGATCCCAAATGGCGACCCCAAAATGAGAACCCCAAATAGAATCCCTAAAAAAGGGGACCCCCAAAATGAAAAACTCAATAGAGGGACCCAAAATAGAGAAACTCAAGTGGGACCCCTAGAAAAGGGGACCCCAAAAATGCATACCCCAATAGGTATGAAGACCCCAAATAGAACCCCAAAATGGGAACTCCAAAAGGGTAATCCTAAATGGAACCCCTAAAAAAGGGAGAACCCCAGCAGGGGGACCCCAAATGGTGACCCCAAAATGAGAACCCCAAATAGAATCCCTAAAAAAGGGGATCCCCAAAATGAGTAACTCAATAGGGGGACTCCAAATAGAGAACCCAAAAGAGAAATCTCAAGTGGGACCCATAAAAAAGGGGACCCAATACTTGGATCCTCAATAGGAGGGCTCTAAATGAAGACCTCAAAAGGGGGACCTCAAAATTGGAACTGCAAAATGGGAATCCCAAAAGGGTGACCCCAAAAATGCAAACCCCAGTAGGGAGAACCCAAAGGGGGAACTCCAAAAGGAGAACCCTAAATGGAACGCCTAAAAAAGGGAACCCTCATAATGAGAACCCCAAAAGGAGGATCCCAAGTGATGATTCCAAAAGGGGAATCCCAAATGGAACCCTTAGAAAGGGGGGGCCCCCAAAATGGGAGCCCCAAATGGGGACTTCCAAATTGAACCCTTAAAAAAGGACACTCCCAAAACGGGAACCCCAAAAAGGGGAACCCAAAATGGGACCCCTAAAAAAGTGGACCTCAAAAATGGTAACCCCAATAGGAGGACTCCAAATGGAGACTCAAAAGGGGGACCTCAAAATTGGAACTGCAAAATGGGAATCCCAAAAGGGGGACCCCAAAAATGAGAACCCTGGTAGGGAGAACCAAAGGGGGAACTCCAAAAGGGGAACCCTAAATTGAACCTCTAAAAAGGGGACCCCCATAATGAGAACCCCAAAAAGACACCCCCAAATGGGGCACCAAAAGGTGGACCCTAAATGGAACCTGTAAAAAAGACTCGCCCCCCCCAAAATGGGGACCCCAAATGGAGAACCCAAAATGGGAGCCTCAAATGGGGACTCCCAAGTTGAACCCATAAAAGAGGAGACTCCCAAAATGGGAACCCCAAAAAAGGGGGACCCAAAAAGGGGAACCCCAGAAGGGGAAATCTAAATGGAACTCCTAAGAAAGGGGACTCCCAAAATAAGATCTCTAATAGGGGGACACCAAATGGAAACCCCCAAAACGGGGAACCCCAAAAAGGACCCTAAAAAGGGGGAAAATAATGGAGGATTTGCGGCACTTAATAACAAAAATATTAAACGTTATCAGTAATAATAATTGTGTTGTCAATGACACGTAGTGGTATAAGGAATTGGGGCACTAATAATAATATTAATAATGGGGTAATCGTCAACAATAGGAAATAGAGTGACCAAAGTGGTGGTAATGAAGGGGTTAGGGCACTTAATAATAAAAACAATAAGTCATGTATTAATAGCGAGAAGAATAACAGTATTAAACGTGATGAATTTGGGCAGAAATCGGGAAAATACTGCTGCTAATAATAACGGGGTATTAATCAAAATCGGAAACACGGAAATGGTGATCATGGGGGAGCTGAGGCACTAAGAATGGTTAAAAATAATAATATTCGTAATAATGGGACGTGCAGCGAGGACGTGGTCCAGCGGTGGTTATCGGGTGCTGGGGATGCAGGCGATGCCCGCCCGCTGTTGGTGCTCGCATGGAGGGCGCGGAGCTGGGAGGCCAGCAGCTGCTCGGGAGCGCCGTGACGATGGCCTCGCAGAGGGGACGGCAGCACGGTGTCCCCCTTTGTCTCCATCCCTGCATCCGACACACGGTGCGCGCTGCTCTCCGGGTAGGACCGATCCCCGCCGTCTCCAGCGCAGCGGTCAGGGTGGGAGCTCAGCACGTAGTACTGATCGGCGGAGAGGTTCTCCCTGGAGGGGACAGGTTGACGGCATCCTCCCGCTGCTCCCCTCGCCGTCTTTGTCCCGCTGGCACAGGGAACCGTCGGAGATCCACCTCCCCTGGGCGTGCGGCGGGGCGGCGGGCGCTGGCTGGGGATGCCCGCTGGCTGGGGATGCTCGCAGGCTGGGGATGCTCGCAGGCTGGGGATGCTCGCAGGCTGGGGATGCTGGCTGGCTGTGGATGCTCGAAGGCTGGGGATGCTCGCAGGCTGGGGATGCTGGCTGGCTGTGGATGCTCGCTGGCTGGGGATGCCCGCTGGCTGGGGATGCTCGCAGGCTGGGGATGCTCGCAGGCTGGGGATGCTCGAAGGCTGGGGATGCCCGCTGGCTGTCCCTGCGCACCGGAGGCTGCGGAGGCACGGAATGCCGAGCGCTGCGCCGCGTTTCCGCTCCTTCAGCACCTGTCTGCAGGTAAATTGGGTCTGGGGGCTTGCAGGGACCCTCAGGGCCGGCGGCGCCCTCAGGGCGCAGGGATAAAAGGCGTAGTGCCTTTTATCCCAGGTGTTGGAGCTGGATGAGAAGGAGCTGTGGGCTGAGTCCCACTTGCTCAACAGATGATGGGGTGTCCTCGTAGTAAGAGTGGCCGGGCTGATCCAGGCTCTCCATGCTCCCGATGGAGCTGCTCCGGTCCGTGCTGCAGTGCCGGGACCTCCCCTATGAAGACAGGCTGAGGGAGCTGGGCTTGTTCAGCCTGGAGAAGAGAAGGCTGTGGGGTGACCTCACTGCAGCATTTCAATACCTAAAGGGAGCCTATAAACAGGAGGGGAATCAACTCTTTGAAAGGTCTGATGACTGCAGGACAAAGGGAAATGGTCTGAAGTTGAGGGAGGGGAGATTGAGGTTGGATGTCAGGGGGAAGTTCTGTACAGAGAGAGTGGTGAGGTGCTGGAACAGCTGCCCAGAGAGGCTGTGGATGCCCCGTCCATCCCTGGAGGTGTTCAAGGCCAGGTTGGATGGGGCCCTGGGCAGCCTGGTGTAGCATTAAATGAGGAGGTTGTGGCCCTGCACGTGGCAGGGGGTTGGAGATTCATCATCCTTGAGGTCCCTTCCAACCCTGGCCATGCTGTGATTCTGTGATTCTGTATTGGTTTATATGATTATATTATCTAAACATATTGTGTTACTATAAAACAGTAAATAATATAATTCTATTGTTGTTATTATTTATAATAATAATTATTATTAACATGTTATTATTCATATATAATAATAATAATAATAATAAACAACGATAACAGTATAAAATATAACGGTAATGGTAATAATAGCCGCGAAGACAATAAAAATAACAAAAACAGTAATAGTGGATGAAAAAAATAAAATATTAATGATGATAATAATAACGAAAGTGATATTAAGCACTAATCAATCAACGCCAAACAACGAGACCGGAAGCGGAAGAACCCGCCCCCGCCCTGCTTCCAGCCAATAGCGAGTGGGAGTGAGGAAAGCGCAGCCAATCGCTGCAGGCAGGGGGCGGGAGGAGCGTTTCTTAAAGTGGCAACGTTGATGTGGCCCACCTTAAAGCGGAAAGGCTCCTCCCCGTTCCTCGCGTCACGGAGCGGGGGCGTGGCGCGCTGTATGCAAATGAGATGCTAATGTGGGAGGAAGCGTGTTTGGAGGGGAGCAGCGAAGGGTGCTGGAGAGGGGTGAGAGTGGAGGGAGAGGCCCGTGAGGGGTTCTTGTGGGGCTGCAAGGGGGTTATGGGGTCTTCATGGTGGGTTCCTGGTGGGGGGCTTCATGGTGGGCTTCGTTGTGGCATCTTGGGGGGCTTCGTGGTGGCTTCATTGCGTCTTCATGGTGGGTTCTCGATGGAGGCTTCACGGTGGGGTCATGGTGGCTTCGTGGTGGCATATGGGGGGGCTTCATGGTGGCTTCTGGGGGGCTTCATGGTGACTTCTGGGGGGTCTTCGTGGGTAATTCATGGTGGGATTGTGGTGGCATCCTGGGGGGCTCCTTGGTGACATCGTACTGGCATCTTGGGGGGCTTCACAGTGGGATTGTGGGTGCTTCCAGATGGCATCTCGGTGGCTTTATGGGGTCTTCATGGTGGCTGCGCGGTGGCCTCGTGTCTCCCCTCCCCCTCCAGCCCCCCACCCCACCCTGTCGTGTCACTTCTCCTTTCCATGGGGCATAGGGACCAGTTCCTCTTTCGGTCCCCATTTTTGTCCTCATCCCCACCCTGTGTCCCCAGGGATGGTTGATGTCACTGTGTGACCCATGTGACACTTTTGGGGTGGTGGGGTGTGAGGGGTGGGCGGAGGTGGCTGAGTGGAGTGGGACAGGTCACCCTAAAAAGCGTACATGGGGGGTGACCAGAGGTAAACCAAAACTGACTATGGGTGACCAAAAGTGGCAGGAGACCTTGGATGTTGAGTGGCCAGGTGTGACCATTGGTGGCCATGGGTGACCAAAGTGACAAGAGACCTTGGATGCTGAGTGACCAGGGCTGACCAGAGGTGACCATGGGAGACCCTAAGTGGCAGGTGACCATGGGCAATAGATGACCAGAGGTGACCAGAGGTGACTGTGGGTAACAGATGACCATGGGTGACCATTGGTGGCCATGGGTGACAGGTGACCATGGGTGCTGGGTGGCTGGAGGTGACCACGGGTGACCATAAATGGCAGATGACAAGGGGGTTAGGTGACTGTGGGCAATCAGAGGTGACCATGGATGACAGATGACCATGGATTTTGGGTGATCATCATTGGTGACCAGACGTGACCATGGATGTAGGGTAACCATGAGTGACCAGAGGTTGTCATAGGTGACAATGAATGACCATGGGTGACCACTGGTGGCTGTGGGTGACACGTGACCATGGTTGATAGGTGACCAGAAGTGACCACGGGTGACTGGCAACCATAAGTGATGGTGACCAAAATTGGCCATAAGTGACCAGTGGTGATCATGGGTGACAGATGACTGCGGGTGACCAGAGGTGACTATGGGTGACTTAAGTGGCAGGTGACCATGGGTGATCATGGATGACCAGAGGTGACAGATGACCACAGGTGATCAGAGGTGACCATGGGTGACCATAAGTGACAGGTGACCGTGAGTGTTGGGTGACCAGAGATGACCAGATGTGATAAGTGACTAGAAGCAACCATGGTTGACCAGTGATCAGAGGTGACCAGAGGTGACCACAAGTAACAGATGACCATGAACGATGGGTGACCAGAGGTGACAACACTTATTGGATGACCACAAATACCCCTCATTAACTATAGCATCTCTATGACTGCATCACACAGTTCCCCACGTGCCTCACCACATCCCACACCGTGTCACCTCCTCATCACCACACGACCTCTCCTGGTGTCCCCTCCTGTCCTCGATGGCATCCCCGGTGCCTCGCCGCGTGCGCCTGCGCCCATGGTTGGTGGCCCAGGTGGACAGCGGGCGTTTCCCAGGGCTGCACTGGGTGGATGCACAGCGCCGGCTCTTTGTGGTCCCATGGCACCACGCCACCCGGCACTTCCCGGCACACAGCGGCGATGATGACACCGTCTTCAAGGTGATCCTGGATGACCCAACGGCTGGAGCGACCTGAACCTGAGCTCTGGTGGCTCTAAACCCAACCCTAGTGGCCCAAATCCCAATCCTAATGACCCTGACACAACTCTGGTGGCCAAAACCCCAACCCTAGTGACCCTGAGCCAACCCTAGTGGCCCTAATCCCAACTCTAATGGCCCTAAACCGAACCCTAGTGGCCCAAATCCCAATCCTAATGACCCTGATACAACCCTAAACCCCAACCCTGCTGGCCCTTACCCAACCCTAGTGGTCCAAACCCTGACTCTACTGACCCGAAGCGAAACCTAGTGGCCCAAATCCCAGTCCTAATGACCCTGATACAACCTTGCTGCTCCTAAGTGCAACACTAATGACCATAATCCTAAAATTGATGATACAAACTCTAACCCTAATGACACTAACCCGACCCTAATGTCCCAACCCCAACTCCAGTGACCCTAATCCAACCCTAATGGCCCAAACCCCAAACACAATGTCCCTAATCCAACACTAGAAACCAAACTCCAACCCTAGTGGCACTAATCCCAAACCTAGTGGCCCAAACTCCAACCCTATTGGCCGTAAGTCAACTCTAGCGGCCCAAACCCAAACCTAATGCCCAAAACCCACTGACCCCAACCCAATTCTGATGACCACAACCCCAATGAACCCCAACCCTGATGTCCCCAGGAGCGCCAGTCCATGACCCCAATACAGCCATCATGACCCCAACCCAATGACCCCAGCCCAGTGACCCCAATCCAACCATGATGAGCCCACCCCCACTAACCACAACCCAGTGACCCCAACACTAATAATCCCAACTAACCCCACCTCCATGACTCCAACCTGATGACCCCAATAAACCCACCCCAATGACCCCAGCCCCACTAACCCCATTTCAATGACCCTAAGCCAACCATCATGACCCCAGCCCAATGTCCCCAACCTGATGACCCCAATTTAACCATGATAACCCCAACCCCACTAATCCCACCCCAATGACTCAACACCAGTAATCCCAACCCACTAACCCACTGATCCCAACCCAATGACCCCAATAACCCCCACCTCAATGACACCAGTGACTCCAACCCAACATTGATGCCTCAACCCCAATAATCCCAGTGACCCCAGTAACCCCAACCATGTTGACCCCAACCCAATGACTCCAACTCTGATGCCCCAAATGCACCATTCATGATGACCCAATCCAATGACCCCCACCCTCCAATAACCCCATTCCAGTAACAACAACCCAATGATCCCAACACAATGTCCCCATCCCGATGACCCCAACCCAATCACCCCAACCCAACCACGATGACCCCACCCCCACTAACCACAACCCAGTGATGCAACGCCAATAATCCCAACTCCCTGACTCCACTGACCCCACTCTGATGACCCCAATGACCCCATCCCAGTCACCCTGACACCACTGACCCTGTAGGCATGGGCAGCAGAGACAGGGAAGTTCCTTGCGGGGCGGGATGAGCCGGATCCTGCCAAGTGGAAGGCGACGCTGCGCTGTGCCCTCAACAAGAGCCGCGAATTCCGCCTGCGCTACGATGGCACCCGCGCTGTGCCCCCCCGGCCCTATAAAGTGTACGAGGTCTGTGGGGCCGACGGAGCAGGTATGGGGCTGGGGAGGGCTCAGTTAGGGACATGGGGTCCGTTGGGTCCCAGCATCCCATAAGTGACATGGGGTATGTGAGGCTAAGCACCCTGCAGTGTCCCATCACCCTGTAAGGACCTGGCATCCCACAAGTCGCTATGGGTGCTGTAGAGTCTCAGTACCCCATGGGACCCCGTTCTTCCCTCACAGACACAGTGACCGGGGATGATTTCAGCTGCGGTGGGGAGGAAGAGGAGGAGGAAGAGGATGTCAGCGAGGTACTGGCCCGTGCCACACAGATGGGGGTCCCCCACTCCATACTCGGGGGTCCCCTGCCCCACATTTGGGGGTTTCCCATTCCATAACTGCCTGCTCTCCCCCTGCAGCTGCAGAAACTGACGTCTCTGAGTATCAAAGGTCAGCAGGGATAAGGGGTGTCCTATAGGGGAATAATGGAGTGGGGGCAGCCTATGGAGGGGTAACAGTGGGGTGGGGACACCCTATGGAGGTCAGTGGGGTGGGGGATACCTGTGGGGGGGCAGTGGGGTGGGAATGCTTCATGGGGGACAATGTGGAGGGAATATTCCATCGGAGACAATGGGATTGGGTTGCCCCAAGGGGGACAGTGCGGGGGGAGGTATCCCATGGGGAATATTAGTGGGGTGGGGGCTCCCCATAGATGATCAGTGGAGTGGGAGAAAGGTGATGTGGAGCATCTCGTGGGAGGAAAACCCCATAGGGAGTCGATGGTGTGTGGATTCCCCAAGGGGGGGCAGTGGAGTTGGGGCACCCATAGTGGCAATCAGTGGGGTGGGGGCTCCCCATAGAGGATCAAAGGAGAGCGGGGAGGGGTTGATGCTGGGAAGGCACTCTGTGAGATGTCTGTCTATGGGGCAGCAGTGCCCTATGGGGAGCAGTGATGTGGGGGCTCCTCTGGCCACCCCCCTCACCCCACTGTTCCCCAGACTGTGGAATGGACCCAGTGCCCCCCTGGCATGAGGAGCACCCCCCGTTCAGCAACGCCGACTCCACAGTGCCCTTCATGCCCCCTGAGCTGCCCCCTGAGCTGACCCCACAGCTACCCCCTGAGCTGAACCCACAGCTGACCCAACAGCTGACCCCACAGCTGCCCCCACAGCTGCCTCCCCCAGGCCCCCCAGCACTCCTGGAACATGGTGTCCCCAATCTGCTGGCCAGCCCTCACCTGCTGCCCCGTAAGCACCAGGATGGGGTATGGGGTGGCTGTGGGGTGGGTGAATGTGGGTATGGGATGACTGTGGGATGGGTGGACGTGAGTATGGGGTGGGTAGATGTGGCTGTGGGCTGGCCGTGGGTGGTTGGACATGGATATGGGGTGGCCATACGGTGGATTGGCAAAGATGTGGGCTGGCCATAGGGTGGTTGGATGTGGCTATGGGGTGGTTGAATTTGGGAATGGGGTGGCTGTGGGGTGGGTGGGGGTGAGGATGGGGTGGCCATGGGGTGGATGGACAGAGGTAGCTGAATGTGATGGGAGGGGTAGGTATGGGGTCAGGGGAGTATGGGGTCACTAGCCATGGGGCTGAGGAGATGAAAGTAGGGTGGGTGGGCATGGGGTTGGGTAGCTGTGGGGTCAAGGAGGATATAGGGTCACTGACCATGGGGGTGGGAGGCTGTGGGGTTGGATGGCTGTGGGGTGAGAGAGCATGGGGTCAGGTGGCTGTGGGGTCTTTGGCCATGAGGTTGGAGGGATGGCAGTGGGGTGGATGGAGCTGGAGTGATGTGGGGTAGTTGGCTGTGTGGTCCAGGGGATATGGGATCACAGGGTATGAGGTCAAGTGGATGATGATGGGATGGGTGGGCATGGGGTCAGGTGGCTGCTATGGAGTCGGGGGGATATAGGGTCACGGTGGCATGGGGGGATGACAATGGGAGTGGGTGGGCATGGGGTTGGATGGTTGTAAGGTGGGCAGACATGGAGTTGGGGGGTGTGGGGTGGTTGACTGTGGGGTTGGGGGGATATGGGGTCAGTGGCCATGGCATTTTGGGGATATAGGGTCACTGGGCATGGGATTGGGGGGTTGTGGGATGGGTGGCTGTAGGGTCAGGGGAGTACAGGGTGGGTGAGCATGGAGCTGGACGGTTGTAGTGTGGGTGGGCGTGGGGTTAAGGAGTTGTAGGGTAGTTGGCTGTGGGTTTGGGTGGCTGTGGAATGGGTGAACATGGGGTTGGGGGATGACAATGGGATCAGAGGAATACGGGTTGGATGGCCATGGGTTGGGGTAGGACTATGACACAGTTACCCATGCGTAGATGATCCCCCATCCCAACCCCATTCACTAACCCTGCAGTGACGGACCTGGAGCTGCGCTTCCAGTACCGCGGGCGGCGGGTGAGCGCCCTGACCATCAGCCACCCCCTGGGCTGCCGTCTGTCCCACGGGGGGTCTCTGCCCCCCACCCCACAGCGCCCTGACCTGCTGGGACACCCCGAGCTCCAGCAGGTCCCCTTCCCTGACCCCGAGGGGATCCCGCACGACAAGCAGCGTCGCTACACCCGCACTTTGTTGGGGGCCATGGAGCGGGGGCTTCTCCTGGAGCTGGGGGGGCAGGACCTCTATGCCACCCGCCTCTGTCGCTGCAAAGTGTTTTGGGATGGGCCCTGCGCACCACCCCAGGACCCCCACCTTGACCCCCGGCCCAACCCCATGGAGAGAGAGAGGAGGGTCCAAGTGTTCAGCCTCCAGCGGTTCCTTGATGGTGAGTGGCACCGGGTGTGGGTTGGGGGGTGTGTGTGGAGATGTTGGGTGGCACTGGGGACATCAAGGAGTCCATGAGGACATCAGGTGGCACTGGAGGACACAAAGGAGTCTGTGGGATCATCAGGTGGCACCTGGAAACACCATGAATGGACATCAGGTGGCCTTGGGGGACATCAGGTAGAACTGGGGACACCAAGGATTCCATGGGGATGTCAGGTGGCATTGGGGGACACCATGAAGGGACATCAGGCGGCACTGGAGGACACAAAGGAGTCTGTGGGATCACCAGGTGGCACTGGAAGATGCCATGAATGGACATCAGGTGGCATTGGAGGACATCAAGTGGCCTTGGGGACACCTGGGAGTCCATAGGGACAACATCAGGTGGCAGTGGGAACACCGGGTGTCCATGGGGACATCAAATGGCATTGGGGGACACCATGAAGGGACATCAGGTGCTAGTGGGAGGATATCAGGGAGTCATTAGGGACATCATGTGGCATTAGGGACACCAGGGAGTCCATGGGGACATCAGAAGTCTATGGAGATGTCAGGTGGCTTTGGGAGACAACAGAGTCCATGGGCACATCAAGTGGCAGTGGGGACACCAGAGAGTCCATGGGTACATCTGTTGGCAAGGAATGACATCAAATGGCACTGGGGGACACTGAACCGTCAGTAGGGACATCAGGTGGAATTGGGGGGACACTGGAGAGCCTGTGGGGACCTCAGGTGGCAATGGGGACATCAGCCAGCACAGAGGGACATCTATCGGCCCATAGGGACATTGGGTGGCAGGGGAGGACGGTGGCTGATGAGGACACTGGTCAGCACTGGGTTGGGGGGGGAGGTGATATTAAGTGACATCTTGGTGCCCCCCAGGGCTTATCCTGTTCCAGAAGGGGCAGAGCCCAACACCACCGCCCTTCGAGGTCTTCCTGTGCTTTGGGGAGGAGTGGCCCGACCACAGACCCAGGGAGAAGAAGCTCATCACTGTACAGGTTGGGGGACTCAGCGGGGACACGGTGGGGTCTTGTTAGGACACATGTTGGGGACACAATGGAGACATGAGGGGGACATGATGAGGATGTGTTGGGGACATGGAGGTGACACGCTGGGGACACATGGTGATGGGATGAATTGGGGACCCAATGGGGACGCATTGGGAACTCTCACTAGGGACACATGGGGGACATGGTGGTGACACATGGGATTGTTTGGGTCGGGGACACAATGGGGACACAATAAAGATGAGCTGGGGACATGGTGGTGACGTGTCAGGGATGGGCTTGGGTCCCAGTGGAGATATGTTGGGGACACGCTGGGGACATGGTAGTGACATGTCAGAGATGAGTTGGGGACCCAATGAGGACATTATGGGACATTTTGGGAACCACCCTAGAGAACAGGTTGGGGGGCAGGATGGGGTCATGGCAGTGATGCACTGGGGATCAGTTTGGGGACACGATGTGAGTACATTGGGGCAAGCACTGGGGACACAGCAAAGATGCAATGGGAGATGTGATGGGGGACGTGTTGGGGCTGCACTGGGGACACGTGTGCCACATCCATCCTCCCCTCCCAGGTGGTGCCGGTGGCGGCACGGCTGCTGCTGGAGCTGTTCTCAGGGGAGCTGTCGTGGTCGGCTGACAGCGTCCCACTGCAGATCTCACAGCCTGACCTCAAGGATGCTCTGGTGGAGCAGTTCAAGGAGCTGCACCGTCTGTGGCAGCAGCAGCAGCGCCCGGAACCTGGCCCACGGCCCCCGCTGTGACACGGGGATGGGGAGAAAATGGGGTGTGTGGTCCTTCCCGGGGGGCAAGGAAGTTTTGGGGGCATTCTTGGTGCTATGGGGATGGTGGAGCTCTGGGGACAGCTGGAGAACCACATCTGGAGCACCACCAGACCTAGAACAGTGCCGTAATCAGAGCGCTAACTCTCCTGGAGCACATCTAGAACACATTTAGTGCACCAGACCTAGGACATTGCTGTACCAGGACTATGGCTGCTCCTGGAGCACATCTGTAAAACCACATCTGGAGCACCACCTGACCTACAGCATTGCTGTACCCAGAGCGCTGCCTCTTCTGGAGCACATCTGGAACACACCTGGAGCACCACTACACCTAGAACATTGACATGCCCAGAGCATTGCTGCTCCTGGAACACACCTGGAGCACCATCTGACCCAGAGCATTGCCATACCTGTCTGTTGCTGCTCCAGGAGCACATCTGGAAAACACATCTGGAGCACCACCTGACCCAGAACACTTCCACACCTGGATCTTCACTGCTCCTGGAGCACCATATTAAAAAAAACAAGTCACACTTGGAGCACATCTGGAGCCCCACCATCCGTAGAACATCACCATACCGGGACCACAGTTCCTCCTGGAGTGCCACATCTGGAACACAACACCTGGAGCACATCTGGAGCCCCACCATCCATAGAACATCACCATACTGGGACTGCAGCTCCTCCTGGATCACATCTGGAACACACATCTGGAACCACCCCACCTCGACCTTCCCCCCCCCAAGAAGCAGACAGGACCACCATGGGCTGGTTGGTTTTTTTTTTGTTTTTTTTTTGTTTTTGTTTTTTTAACTGATATATTTTTTTTTCCATTTTTGCATCTTTTTTTTTTGTTTGTTTTGTTTTTTTGTTTTTTTGTTTTTTTTTTATTGTTCTCAAGATGGCTACAACACCAGACGGAACCGCACACCCGGCCCCGGTTCCGTCCCTGCACTCGCACGGCCAAACCCCCCACCCCAACCCTGTGCTCTTCCCCTCAAAAAAAAAAATAATAAAACAAACCAGATTTGGAAAAAAAAAGAAAAAAAATATAATATATATTTTAAGCAGTCCGACCCACGCGGCCGCGTCCCCGCGCCGAGTCCGCATCCCCACCCCCCACCAACCCCAGGAGTGCGGACCCCCCCTTGGCTGCCCGCCCCCTCCCCACAGCTCTTCCCATCTTTTGATGTCGTTTCAGGGAAGTTTGGTACTTTTTGGCGCTCGTTGAGGGCCCAGTCCTGGTGTGGGGGGGTTGGTTTGGTTTTTTTTTTGGGGGGTCGCAGTGTTGGGACGCACGCTCCTCTGGTGCTGAGTGAGTGCGGCCCCCGGCGACAGCTGCGGGACCAATCATGGTGGCTTCGTTTCTGTCTTCTGTTAATTAATGGATGTTCCAGGGAGGGGAGAGCTGCAGGAGGTCATTTCCCCAACCAACCCAACGTGATGTCCTCAGCCCCATTCAATGTCCCCAGCTGAACCCAACCCAGTGTCTCCAACCACACACCATGTTCTCAGTGCAGTGCCATGCCCCCAACCCAACACCACGTCCCCAGCTCAGCAGCTTATCTCCAACCCAATCCAACACAATGTCCTCAACCCAACACCATGACCCCAACCCAACCCGATGTCCCCAGCTGAACCCAGAACAATGTCTCCAACCCGACACTGTCCCCAACTCACCCCAACCCAACGTCCCCAACCCAATACCACGTCCCCAGCTCAGCACCATATCTCCAGCCCAATCCAACACAATGTCCTCAACCCAACACTATGACCCCAAATGAACGCAATGTCCCCAACCCAATGTCCTCAACCCAACACCATGACCCCAACCCAACTCAACCCAATCTCCCCAGCTGAACCCAGAACAATGTCTCCAACCCGACACTGTCCCCAACTCACCCCAACCCAATGTCCCCAACCTAACCCAACGTCCCCAACCCAATACCACATCCCCAGCTCAGCACCATATCTCCAGCCCAATCCAACACAATGTCCTCAACCCAACACTATGACCCCAAATTAACACAATGTCCTCAACCCAACACCGTGACCCCAATTCAACCCAAAACAATGTCCCCAGCTGAACCAAGAACAATGTTCCCAGCCCACAGCTATGTCCCCAACTCAACACCATGACCCCAACTCAGAACAATGTCCTCAGTAAAGCACAAATGTCCCCAAACCAACATCCCCAACCCAACACGATGTCCCCAACCCAATCCAACACAATCTAACACAGTGTCCCCAACCCAATGTCCTCAATCCAACTCCGTGACCCCAACCCAACTCAACACAATGTCTCCAACCCAACACTGTCCCTAACTCGCCCCAACCCAATGTCCCCAACCTAACCCAACGTCCCCAACCCAACAGTGGCACGTCCCAAGCTGAATGCAGAACAATGTCCCCAGTAAAGTACAATGTCCCCTCAACCCCACACCATGTCCCCAGTGCAGTGCCGTGACCCCAACCCAATGCGTTCTCCCCAACATGATGTCTCCAAACCAACAAAATGTCCCCAGCTGATTCCATTAGAATGTTCCCAGCCCAGAGCTATGCCCCCAATCCAATACCATGTCCCCAGTCCAATACAATGTCCCCAACTCAATCCAACACAATATCCCCAATCTAACACAACGTCCCCAATCCAACATCCCCAACCCAACATGACGCCCTCAACCCAACAGTGCCATGTCCCAACCCATTGCGATGTTCCTGATCAAACCCAGAACAATGTCCCAATAAAGCACGTCTCCAATCCAGCACCATCTCCCAGTCCAACCCAGCACAATGTTCCTAGCCCAACCTAACACCATGTCACCAATCTAACTAAACACGATGTTCCCAACAAAGTGCCATGACCCCAACCCGATGTGATGCCCTCAGCTGAACCTAGAACAATGACCTCAACCCAGTGCCATGTCCACAGCCAACTCCATGTTCCCAACCCAATTTGACAGCTCCAGCCCAACATGATGTTCCCAACAGAACCCAGATCAATGTCCCCAACACAGCATCATGTTCCCACCACAGCATAACACCCCCAGCCCAGCACAATGTCCCCAACCCAACATCCCCAGCTGAGCCTACAACAATGTCCTCAACCTAACGTTTTGTCCCCAGTGCAACCCAATCCCACACGATGCCCCCATCCCAATGTGATGCCCCCAGCCCCAGCAAGGCCCCTGGGGGTCTGCTGCCCCCATGGTGGCCCCCAGTCCCGTGTCTTACTTGGGAGGCAGGTGCCGTGCTGGGTGCAGGGCACAGGCTATCGGAATAGGCGGGTGAAGTCCCGCAGAGCCCAGCAGACCTGCTTACATTCCTCCGCGCTGCAAAGGGACGGAGCATTAGGGGAGTGAGAGAGATGCACAGAGGGATGGAGACAGGCAGAGGGGTTGGAGAGATGTACTGAGTTGTTTAGGACAGATGGACCCGCCAGGGACAGACAGACCCCATGGGGATGCACAATTCAGTTAGGGATGGATGGACCTCTCAGGGACACACTGATCTGTCCTCACTGGGGACAGATGGACAGAGCTGTTAGGGACACACAGTCCCTCTGGGGACAGACAGATAGATCTATTGGGGACGCACAGACACACTAGCGACAGATGGAACCCTTGGACAGACAGATGGACTCACTGGGAATGTGTGGACTCACTGGGGACACACAAATCACCTGGGAACATGGGGATGGCTTTGGCACACAGATGCCCACGTGGTGTTAGAGAGGAAAATCCCATTTGGGGATCAGTAGGAGCCTGGGTTGGGCATGTCTCGGTACAGGGTGGGACCGAAATTCCCACTGGGGGACAGCAGGCAGGGACACATCAGGGGCTGGGGTCCCATGAGATATCGGGGTTCGGGCTCTGATCCCAAACTGAGGTCCACAATTCCATCAGATATTGGGATCCAGGCTCTGATCCCAAATTGAGGTCTGGGGTCCCATCAGATGGTGGAGTCCAGACTCTGGTAACTAATTGAGGGTGAGGCTCCCAGCACTAACTAGGGCCTTTGGGCTCTCACCTCGTCACTTGCTTGTGGAAATCCGTCAGCTGCTTGTGCGTCACCTGGATGGCCCCCCCTGTCGTCTCCTTTGGCAGTGCCTTCAGGGAGTTTTCCAGCCACCGACAGAAGGTCTGCAGGGAGGGGAGAGGGTTAGGGGTGGCTACTGCGCTCCCCCTGGGTCACTCTGTATGATGGAGGGACATGAGGACCCAGGGACATAAGGACAAAAAAGTGTGGGGACATGGGGACACAGAGGAGCGGGGATATAGGGACACAGGAAAGCAGGGACACAGAGATGTGAGTGACATTGGGGACGTTAAGGACATGGAGGATACAGAGACATAGGGACGTGGTGACACAGGGACGTGGGGCTGCAGTGACATGGAGATGGGGGGATGTGGGGACACAGGTCCATTGAGGACTTGGGAACATGAGGGTATGGGGAACATAGGGATATAGGCACATGGAGATCTGGAAGACATGAGGGTGTGGGGACATTGAGGATCTGGGGACATGGAGGACCTAGGGGTATAGAGACATGAGGACACAGATGTGGGGAACATGGGGACACAAAGATGCAGGGAAATGGGGGACACGAGGATGCAGGTATGTGGTTCACACAGGGATAAAGGAACATGGAGAAGTGGGGATGCTGGGAATATGAGGACAGGGACACGGGGATGTTGGGGACACAGGATTGTGAAGAGACAGGGGACATGGGGCTGTGAGGAACAAAGGGGATGGAGGGATTGTGAGGAACAAAGGGGCTGTGAGGAACAAAGGGGGCTGTGGGGACACAGAGTGGACACGGTGACAGGTGCTCACCGCGCGGTCGCTCTGCATGATCTCCCAGAGCACCTCAGCCACGTCAGGCAGTGTGTAGGGTGGCAGGCAGAAGCAGCAGGTGTGCAGGAGCTGCGAGACGAGCTGCTGCCCCAACTGCCGCAGCACCTGCGCGATCAGCTCCGTGCGCAGCTCAAAGTCCTCCTCGTGCTGTGGGGGGTTGGGGTTCAGCTTCACCCTAAAGCTCTCACTCGAACTCTACAATCCTAACCTTGACCCTAAAATCCTGAGCCTAAAGCTCTGATCTTAATCCTAACCCTAAAATCCTAAACCCAAAACCGTAACCTTAAAACCCTAACTCTAAAACCTGAACGCTAACCTTAAGCCTAAAACCATAAGTTTTACCCTAATCTAGCCATAAACCTAAAACCCCCACTCTGGCCTTTATCTTCACCCTAACCCTAAAACCCAAACCCTGAGCCTGAAACAACAAGCCCAGCCCCACAATTCTAACCCTAACTCCAACCCTAAAACTGTGACCCCAAACCTCCACTCCTAATCCTACATTTCTAGTCCAACTCCACACCATCTCTGACCTCAAACCACCATCATTCCCACATCACACCGACCCCAGATCTCCAACCTTAACCCCAACATTCGAACTTCAACCTGCATTACCTCCAACCCCAATCTCCTCTCTGACCCCAATACTACATCCCGACCCAGTCCCAATTCCAACCCTACAATCCCACCAAACCCAACCCTATATCCTCTCCCAACCCAACATCCTCTCCCAATCCTACATCCTTTTTGAACCCCATGTCTTTTCCCAACCCCACAACTCCATCCCACATCTTCTTCCAATCCCACATCCTCTTCCAATCCAACCTTATCTTCTCTTCCAACTCAACTTCACATCCCCTCTCAACCCTACATCCTCTCCCAACCCAACATCCCCTCTCAACCCTACATCCTCTCCCAACCCAACATCCCCTCTGAACCCTACATCCTCTCTCAACCCAACCCTGCATCCACTCCTAACCCAATCCCACACCCTCTTCCAATCCCACACCCTCTTCCAATCTAACCCCACATCCTCACCCAACACTGCATCCTCCCCCATGTCCTCCTTCAACCCCAACCCCCCTCTCCGACCCCAAATCTTGTCACCCTGTCCCCTTTCCCCCTGTCCCACCCCACTCACGTCGTTGGCCAC